ATGGGATCAAGTTCCTTCTACCCGAAGAAAATCCTTTTATATCTTCTATCATGTAGGTCTACTAATGACTAAGCCTTTTCTCTCTTTCTCTTTGTGTGACTAGTGAAATTTTTTAAAAAACATCTTACTTATTTATTTTAAGTAATCTCTACATCCAGAGTGGGGCTCAAATTCACGGCTCCAAGATCAAGAGTCGCACACACTACCGATTGAGCCAGCCAGGCACCCCTAACTAATGAAATGTTTTGCTTTCAACTTCATACTTAAAGGGAAGCGTGCTGGGTACAGAATTCTCATTGGTGTTTATTTTCTTTTAGCTCTTTAAGAATGTCATTCCGTTATCTCTGTTTTCCACTGCTGAGTAGCTGGCTGTCAGTCTTTGAAGATAACTTTTTCCTATGCTATTTTTAGTATTTTTCTTCACATTTTGTTTATAGCCTTTGTAATATGGTACATGTGTCAGTTATTGCTGTGTTTCAGGATGTTGACTGATATGTGTCATCCTCAGTTACTGCTACGTAACAAACTACCCCAAAACTCTATGGCTTAAAACAACAATCAGGGCGCCTGGGTGGTTCAGTTGGTTGGGCGACTGCCTTCGGCTCAGGCCATGATCCTGGAGTCCCGGGATCGAGTCCCACATCGGGCTCCCTGCTCAGCGGGGAGTCTGCTTCTCCCTCTGACCCTCTTCCCTCTCGTGCTCTCTGTCTCTCATTCTCTCTCTCTCAAATAAATAAATAAAATCTTTAAAAAGATTTCGAATTCTCTTTTTAATAAGAGAAAAAAATCTTTTTAAAGATTTTATTTATTTGAGAGAGAGAATGAGAGAGAGAGAGAGAGCACATGAGAGGGGGGAGGGTCAGAGGGAGAAGCAGACTCCCCGCTGAGCAGGGAGCCCTATGCGGGACTCGATTCCGGGACTCCAGGATCATGGCCTGAGCCGAAGGCAGTCGCTTAACCAACTGAGCCACCCAGGCGCCCCTCAAATAAATAAATAAAATCTTAAAAAAAACAAACAAAAAAAAACGATCAATCACTTGGCCCACAAATCTGCAATTTGAGCAGAGCTCAGTGGGAAAAGCTCTCTTCTGCTCTACATGGCATGAGCCGGGGTGGCTGGACTGCAGGATCCACTTCTAAGATGACTCACTCATAACCGGCAAGTTGCTGCTGGCTGTTGGCTGGTAGTTCGACCAGGGCTATGGGTCCAGGACCAAGAGTCGTCCCTGTGGGTTGTGTCAGTTTCCCCATGGCATGATAGCCAGGTCTCAAGAGAAAAGAGGTGGAAGCTTCCAGTCTCTTAAAGGCTTCGTCCAGAAACTAGGGCAGCATTACCTCTGCCCTATTCTTTTGGTAAAGCAGTTGCAGAGCCAGATGAAAGGGTAAAGAGACATCATGGGATAATGATAAGAGACATCATGTCTCAATGGGAGCAGTGTCAAAGAATTTGGGGGCCATGTTTTAAAACCCACAAGGTCCCTAAGTGTGGATTTCTATTTGTGTGTGTGTCTGTGTGTGTGTGTGTGTGTGTATGTGCAGGAAGGCTCATAGATATTTTCAATCACTATGACATTTTTTTTTTATCAATTTTGAAAAGTTCACAGACATTAACTCTTCAAATATGGCTTCTCTCCAGTTCTCTTTCTCTCCTGCTTTGGTACCTCCACTTATATGTATGGTAGATCTTTTTGTTATATATTCTATGTCTTTTGTCCACTTTCCTGCATTTTCCATCCTTTGGCTCCCCAGGCTAATCTGTTTCCTCTTTTCTGGCTTGTCTTCCTGTTTACTGGTTTTCTCTTCAGCATTGTCCAGTCTGCTTTTATACCTGGCCACTGGGTTCTTCATTTCAGCAATTGTATTTTTTAATGCTGCAATTTCCATTTTTAAAATGGATTCAAGATCTTTGCCCCAATTTTAAGTCTTCCTTTTCATCCTCTTAAATATTATCACATTTATTTTATTTTCTTAAGTAAGCTCTATGCCCAACGTGGGGCTCAAACTCATGACCCTGAGATCAAGAGTCACATGCTCTACTGACTGAGCCACCCAGCTGCCCCTATCACAGTTATTTTAAAGTCTGTGTCAGATGACTTCAGTATTTGCAGCCCCTTACCTACAGATCTGTTTCCATCATACATTATTTCTGTTGGTTTTCTTTCACATCATGTAGTATCTCCTCCTGTGCTTGGTGAGTTTTGATTATGTGCTGGCCCTTGGATTTGCAATACTTGTAGAAACAGTTTGAAGCCTGGCTTAATGTTTCTTTTATATTTGCTTCTCCCAGGTATCTGGGAACATTATCAGTTAGGATAATTTCAGTCTATTTTCTGGAACTGAAATTATTTGGAGCCGAGCTGCAGTCTCTGGGAGGGTCTATCTACTGTGGCTCATCTTACGCCTTAGTCCTTCAGGATCCCCACCCACAGTAAGAGGGTTCATCAGGGCCCTCCCCTGGCCTCCAGTCCCTGTCCCCTGAGCCCATGAGGTTGCTGATGATCTATGATATATCCCTCCAGCCTCTCAAGTGCCAGCAGGCTTTCCCCTCTGATTCTTGAGCAGGCCACCAGGCTCACTTCCTGGGTTTCCATAACCCCTTCCCACCTGACACTTCATCCCTATCTGCTTCCATGTCCAGCGCCTCAAGCAGATGCCTTTTACATTTTGTCCAGCATTTCTGGTTGTCCCTAGGGGGCAGTCTGGTTCACATTACCTGGGCCATCGTGTGGAAGTGGGAGTCCTCTGAGAGATCCTCTTTTCTTCTGGGTTGGTCTCAGCAGCATTCAAATGCCTGATTCCACTTTCCCCATTAGCTGCCTCAGTTTGCTCCCCTCTGCGGCGAACCCCCTAACAAATATCCCCTATACTTGCTTCTCCAATTTCTTACATCCCATTCCTTCTCAAGCCCTCTCCAATCAGGCTCCGGTTCCCACCGTTCCACCAAAAGTACTTTGTCAAGGTCATTAATGTTTTATAGATGCTAAATCTGGTGATCAGTTTTTAGTGTCCTTGTCAGTGTCATTTAGTGTCTTCACGTCTGACATACAGCAGCAGCATTTAACATGGAGCCCTCTGACGCACAGAGATGGGCGAGATGGAACAAAACCAGCCAAGGAGAATGAAGAAGGACTTCCTCCCATATCCTCCTTTCTTTGTTTGTTTGTTCTTTAGCACTTATTACCTGGCAGTTTGTTAATTGTACTTTCTTATTTTGATTTGTCGCTTACGCATTATGTTGGTCTCTCCCCTAAGAACACGGGCTCCAGGAAGGCAGGGTGTGTCATCTCTTTTGTTCATTAATTTACCCCTTCCATCTAGAACAATGGCAGGTGCAGAACACGCACTCAGTAGATATTTGCTAAACAATTGCACTCTCTCTTGGAAAGAACAGGCAAGCCTTGTTGAGCCAGCACTCTTTGGGCTAGACCTCTGCTAGACCCTGGCTGACCACGGGTCTTTAATGTTGAAAGCCCTGGTCAAAACTTCAAGTATCTTCAATGTCAACCGTCATTGTGATTATCCAATTTTTAAAGTGCTATTACTTGGCTATCCCATCTGATTCTCATAGTACCTCTGTGAGGTAGGTGGGACAGGTACAGTTAGTCTCATGTTTCAAATAGGGCTCAGAGAGGGAAAGAATTTTCCCTAGGTCACACAGCAGCTTAATAGCAAACCTTGGACTTAAACACAACTCTAAAAATGAACAAGGTTTATGATGATCATTCTTCTCCTCCTTTGGGGGAGTTAGAGGGAAGGGACACCATCTGATTGGTTTCTCAAAAAAAAAATTTTTTTTTCTGATTATAAAAAATTATAGGGGCACCTGGGTGGCTCAGTCAGTTGAGCGTCCAACTCTTGATCTCAGCGTTCAGGTCTCGATCTCAGGGTCGTGAGTTCAAGCCCCACACTGGGCTCCATGCTGGGTGTGGAGCCTACTTTAAAAAATAAAAATTATATAAACTCATTGTAGAAAATTTAGAAACTTCAGAAATGGATAAAGAACATTTCAATTACTATACTACCATGTACATTTTGACATATTTTTTAACACAATTTAGATCACATTGTATCATATAAAATTTGTATCTTGCTTTTTTACTTAACATTACAAAATCATATTTCACTTTTCTTTTAATATTGCATCTTTTTTTTTTAAAGATCCTATTTATTTATTTGACAGAGAGAGACACAGCGAGAGAGGGAACACAGCAGGGGGAGTGGGAGAGGGAGAAGCAGGCTTCCTGCGGAGCAGGGAGCCTGATGTGGGGCTCGATCCCAGGACCCTGGGATCATGACCTGAGCTGAAGGCAGATGCTTAACGACTGAACCACCCAGGCGCCCCTTAATATTGCATCTTTTTTTTTTTTTTAAAGATTTTATTTATTTATTTATTTGAGGGAGAGAATGAGAGACAGAGAGCATGAGAGGGAGGAGGGTGAGAAGGAGAAGCAGACTCTCTGCTGAGCAGGGACCCCGATGTGGGACTCGATCCCGGGACTCCAGGATCATGACCTGAGCCGAAGGCAGTTGCTTAACCAACTGAGCCACCCAGGCGCCCTTAATATTGCATCTTAATGGTTGCATAATATTCCATCACATAGCTGTGCCACCATTTATATCATATTCTACTGCTGGACACTTAAATTATACACTTATTTACTTCCTATGGTGTGCGAGGGCCGGGGACTTGAGGCTGGGGCTCTCAGATGTCATAATCAAATTAGAAAGTGGATATGACAGGGCTTTGTTAAAATAAAATTTAAAAGCACCATGAGATGATATAAAAAAATGGAAAAGAAAATATTTTTAAATAAAAATAAAATCAATTTGGAGGTGGGTGTGTGAGTGTGTGCGTGTGCGCGCGTGTGCATGCGGTGGGAAGGGGAGTCCAGCTGAAGTGGGTCCCTGCATGGCCAGAGGCAGGCAGCGACCTGTGTACGGGGGGACCCAAGCCTTCTGTTCATTTCTGTGTGTCTTCCTCCCATGTCCCGGCTCCACAGACTCTTCCAGCTAGAGACGGAGGCAGATGCCCTCGTGAACTTCCAGCACTATTCTTCGCAGCTGCCGCCCTTCTACGAGAGCTCCAGCCACGTCCTACACGTGGAGGTCCTGCAGCAGTTGACTGACCTCATCCGCAACCACCCCAGCTGGTCGGTGGCCCACTTGGCGGTGGAGTTAGGGATCCGAGAGTGTTTCCACCACAGCCGCATCATCAGGTGGGCCAGGAGGGGGACAGTGCATGTGCCTGTGTGTGTGGATGGGTGGGGCCTGGGTCAGTCACTCAGTCCTGCCTCAGTTTCCCTCTGTAAAGCCGAAAGTTGCCCAGCACCTTGGATGTGATCTGCGCTAGGTCGCTTCGCTGGAGAGAGCTGAAGAGGCCTCAGGTCCTCGTGTCTCCTTCCAAAGATCTGGCTGCTCCCTCTCTCATGTGGTCCTTCAGCCAATGCTTATGTCAGTAGATGTGCCCCCGAGAGGGGACTGTGTGGGCCCTGATGCAGTGTTCTGGCTCACCCACTTGCCCTGAGGTGGCCACAGCATGGCTCAGCCCCCAGGCCCCAGGCTCAGAATTCCTCACTGCCCTTTATAGTTTCCAGGCCTGTTCTTGGACATCGTGGGGATTAACCTCCCCCAGGCCCTGTCCCTTTCCTAGGGCGGGCATTATTGTTATTCTTTTATAGATAAAGAGATTGAAGCCCAAAAAGGTTAAGTGAACTGCCTGAGGTTGATGAGATTTCAGCATTCTGCCCCGTTCTGTGCCACCCCACCACCGACTTCTGGCTGGCAGGGCCCTAGGACCCATCCCTCGTATGGGCGTGCAAGTAAACGACTATTAAAATCACATCAGTCCCAAATAAATTGTGAGCCAGCCCTGAGTTTGAACCAGCCAGCCCGAGCATGGCAGGAATGCTCTTGAGCCCCTAGCCCACTTCCCTCTGCAGCCCCTGAGTTTCTCAGCACCCTTCCCTCCTTGTGCCCACCCCACCCCTGCAGCTGCGCCAACAACAGGGAGAATGAGGACGGCTGCACCCCCCTGCACCTGGCCTGCCGCAAGGGTGATGGGGAGATCCTGGTGGAGCTGGTGCAGTACTGCCACGCCCAGATGGACGTCACGGACAACAATGGGGAGACAGCCTTTCATTACGCTGTCCAGGGTGACAATGCCCAGGTGCTGCAGGTGAGCAGCAGGGGGCGGGTTGGGGATGACCGGAGCTTGTCCCCACTTGTCCCCAGCTCCTTCCTGGAGGGCGTCCCCTCCCCTCCCCCACTTCCCTCCTCATGCTTGTCAAGGAGACACATCCTCAGCTACTGGGCTCTGATCTGACAACCCTAGGGAGGTCCCCCAACCCAGCAAACTAAACTGGAGGCCCAGTCCAGCCAAGCAGTTCAGTTCGGCTTGTCCCGAGCACCTACTGAGCCCGACCCTGGGCTAGGTGAATTCATTTTGCACCCTGCCCAGACAGGCTTATGGTTCAGCGGGACTTGAGCTTAGCTTTTTACAGGAACTCAAAACTCCATCCGGCTCCTCTAGACATTTGCATCAGACATACCCCTCCTGTGAAATGTTTGATTATTGGGCTGAGAAATGAAAATAAAAATCATAGGCAAGTAGATGGAGTGATGTCATTAAACTTTATGTATTGGATGGATAAGACAGAATACCAGATAGGATTTTATTGCCCAGAGTTAGAAGGTTCTTTTAAATGTTATATTCTTCTCTGCCCTGGCATCAGAAAGGAACGACATTGTTCCCGAAAATATGCGTTCATGTCGTATGATTGTGCAGAGGAAAGGGACTTCCACGTGCTCTGGTGAACTCCATCCTTCCTGAGAGCCGGCTCCGTGCCCAGCACTGTGCCCCACAAGACCTGCCTCTGTGCAGATGGCAGGCACACACTCAACTGTCCTTTGTCGTGGGCTGGTCTCATGTCTGGCCCTGTACTGAGTGTTCTGTGTTCCAGTTAATTCTCAAAACAGCCTCTCTGGGGAGAGGTCATGATCCTCCTCTCGTTGCCAAATAAACTGAGGTTCCATGAGGTTAAAGAAACGTGCCCAGGGAGGGGCAGAGCTGTGAGCAGTGGGGCTGGCCCTGGAGTCGAGCCTCTTTGCCGTGTCCCCAGCCTGTTGACAGGCCCAGCGAGGTTCCCTGGGCGCACAGGAGTTGTAGTTAACCTAGGGAGACAGCACTCGGCCACAAGTGAGGAAATGAAACCTCCTGGCTTTCTTTGTAGTACTGGTTTGTTTGTTTGTTTGTTTGTTTGTTTCAGTGCAGAAGGTGTTTTTATTAAAGCATAGGACGGGGCCCATGGGCAGAAAGAGCTGCCTGTTTGTTTTTCTTTTTAATTGAAAAAATAATATGTGAACCTAGCAAAAAGAAATTCAAGCAGGCGGAGTGCCTGGGTGGCTCAGTCATTAAGCATCTGCCTTCAGCTCAGTTCATGATCCCAGGGTCCTGGGATCGAGCCCCACATCGGGCTCCTTGCTCAGCAGAGAGCCTGCTTCTCCCTCTCCCACTCCCCCTGCTTGTGTTCCCTCTCTCACTGTGTCTCTCTCTGTCAAATAAATAGATAAAATCTTAAAAAAAAAAAAGAAAAAAAGAAATTCAAGCAGGAGAGACGAAAATACGATGAAAGTACACAATGAAAAGCAGGAATTGCTCCCACCCAGGCCCCCAGTGCCCATCCGAACGAACAACCTCTATTCAGGTTTCTTGGTTGGGAAGTTTTTCATATGAGCCAAGCTGTGCCAGACCAGCCCCCAGCCAACCCTGGCACAGTCGGCATCCTGTTTTCCTGCAAACCTCCTTTCTCTGTTGCTTCCCTTAATGTCCCTACCGTGTTCTCACAGAGTCAGACTTCCCTTCCCTTCAAGTGGGTGCAGGAGACTGGCATGGAGGGTGTCAGGGAGGGTCATGCGGGGGCTTCTGTTTGTCCAGCCCCAGCCCACCCCGATGTCCCGCTGTCAGCTCCTAGGGAAGAACGCATCAGCTGGCCTGAACCAGGTGAACAACCAGGGACAGACTCCGCTGCACCTGGCCTGCCAGATGGGGAAGCAGGAGATGGTCCGCGTGCTGCTCCTTTGCAATGCTCGGTGCAACATCATGGGGTCCGCTGGCTACCCCATCCACACGGCCATGAAGTTCTCCCATAAGGGGTAAGACCTCACTCCCCCGCCTGGCTGGCTGGGTGTCTGGCTCCCGCAGCTCTTCTCACGCCCAGGTGAGCACTGGCCTCCACAGGCTCATTAGATGTGTTTCCAATACTTGTGCCAAGGACTGGCCTGGCCCAAACAAGGTACTTGATGAATGTGTAGTGGATGTGAATCTCAGTCCAGAAAGTTAGCTGTGCAAAGAGTAGAATTTTAAAATGTTTTCTGTAATGCACCTTAATTTCTGGCCAGGAACCTCCCTCTACCAGACTAGAGAAGAACAATCCAGGTCTTCCCCGGGGTCCCCTTTCCACCTTCCCCAGGTGCTCCTCCTGTGCCAGAGTCACATGCAGCCCCAAGGAGGGCTGGGTCCTCTTCGGTCTAGGCCCACCAGCCTGATCTGAACCCCTTCATGGCTACAGCGCTGCTCTGTGGCTTCGCAGATTCCTGGCTTGAAGCCCAGGAATGCTTGGCGAGGTGGCCCAGAGGCCCTTCTGCCTAGATGTGTCCATCCTTCCAAGCTGGTGGTGCTGCTGAGACGCAGGTACCAGGCCCATGCCTTGGGGAGATCTGGACCACTCTCGCATTTCTTCCCTTCTCCCCAGACCTGGGAAACCCGGGTCTCAGGAAAATTCTCCATGTGAAGTGTGTGCGTGTATGTGTGTGTACAGGGGGGGGGGTGTGTGATTAAAGAGATGAAGGGGTGCCTGGGTGGTGCAGTCGGTTGGGCATCCAACTCTTGGTTTCAGCTTGGGTCATGATCTCAGGGTGATGAGATTGAGCCCGGCGTCGGGCTCTGTGTGCAGCGTGGAGTCAGCTTGAGATTCTCTCTCTCTCCTTCTCCCTGCCCTTCCTGCTTGTGCGTGCTCTCTCTTGCTAAAATAAATAAATCTTAAAAAGAGAGAGAGAGAGAGAGATGAATATCTCAAAACATGCCCAGTGGGAACAGTATCTAGAATGACTGACTGACGGAATGAAGGGGTCAGTTGGTCCCTCTGTCTGGGCGCTGTGCTAAGTGCTGGCCTTAAAGAGACGGACCTGGACAGGAGACACAGAAGTCACTGGGTCCTTCTAGGCTGTGTGCTGGACAGGCAGGGGAAGCGCACAGAGGGCGGCACATGCGTGGGGGCAAGCCTTGCCCTCCCGCAGGTTTTCCCTTTTTCTGGAGTCTTCTGGAGTCTGCACCCACCTTGCCGGCCCCGCTGCCATGGCTATCCCCTCAAAGGTCTAGTCCAAGCTTGGGCCAGCCTACCTTTCCGTGATCCTCCGCAGCACAGCCAAGATGGACTAGAATGTTCAGGAAGACTTGACCAAATGGTTGGAGACAGTACCAACACCCTCATCCCCAGTAGTCATTGTTCCCTGATTGCAGGTTGCAACCCAAATGGGCACAAGTGATGGCTGATGCTTTTTTATCCCCAAGAGGTGGCATGGCAGCCCTGTTCTGGCTCAGCTCCGGCCACCCCAAGCTTTCCTGTCCACGGCCCTGGTATTGCCCGGCTCGCTCATTCCTTAGACACCTCTAGCCACATTCCCCTCTGCCCCCGCCGGGCCTCCCCCCGTGGGGCTGGTACATATCACAAGGGATCATGCACGGAAGACGATGCGAGTGGCCTCACACTGTGGGCATGCCCTACACAGCCCCACATGGCCGCATCCTCCCAGGGCCCCAACGGGGACATCCCTCTGCCACCATGTGGTAACCAACATGGCTATACTCTAGAAAATCTCAAGCGTTAGGGTTACAGAGAGGTCCCATCCCAGCTCCAATTTGGGAGCCCCTTTGCTATTTATGTCAACTCAGCTGACCTTTATAGAGCCTGGTTTGGGCCTGGGACTTGACTTTCACTTTGCAAAATGTCTTCAAGGTTTATTAGTGTTGTAGCGTATATCAGAATTCCCTCCCCCCCCCTTTTTTTTAAGATTTCATTTATTTATTTGACAGAGAGAGAGAGGGAGGGTGCACACAGAAGCAGGGGGAGCAGCAGAGGCTGAGGGAGAAGCGGACTTCCCGCTGAGCCGGGAGCCCGATGCGGGGCTCGGTCCCTCCTCTCCTTAATCCCCACCAGTCCAGTGAGGACCATGCCTGTATTGGAGATGGGTTCAGCCACTTGCCAGAGGTCACCAGTGAGGAAGCTGGTTACCCAGGCCTGCCTGACTTTAAGGCCAGCACCAGTGAGAGTGATCATTGCTGAATCAGAGAAGACTTCCTGGAGGTGGGGGCTTGAGCTAGGCCTGTGGGGGCCCCGGATACCCTTGACATACCATAGCATACATGCTGGTTGGTTCTGTTGCAAAACCATCAGAAATTTTGCAGAAACTCTCCTTCACCAGGAGATGAAGCCCCAAGTCATGGCCTTTTCCAGCCCCAGGCCACCTCCCTCCACCCCCATGGCCTTCTATACTGCCCGATGGCTCCTTTCTCCCTAGGTGTGCTGAAATGATCATAAGCATGGACAGCAACCAGATCCACAGCAAAGACCCTCGCTACGGAGCCAGCCCCCTCCACTGGGCCAAGACCGCTGAGGTAGGCAGCCTGAGGGTGAGTGGTGGGTGGGCAGGGGGCAGAGTCCCAGAGCCCCCTCTTCCCCAGCTGCCTGCAGGAAGGCAGTTCCTAAGATGACTCTGGGGATGGCATCGTGGGGGTTGATCTCTTAGTGGTCCTGCAGGGGGAGATGCCATAGATGACATCCTGGTGTTGTTCTGCTGCTCACTGGCACAGTGACAAGGCCCCTCTGTGGTTTCTTTGTGTATGAATGGGGCGTCCTACAGGCTGCCTTCGGAGGTGTGAAGTCAGCAAGGTAATGTGTGAGAAAAGTCTTTGTAACTTGTCAAGCAGAAGGTGGTGTGATGCTCTGGCTGGGCGGCTTTCCGGGAGGCCTTCCCTAAGCCAAGCTCCACCCCCCGGGGAGGATGGAGGCCTCTGGTGTCTCATTGCCAGGAAGCAGAGCTCAGCAGTGCACTGGGTGCCCCAGAGACTGTGGCCTGTTCTTAAACGTGATGGGCCAGAAGGGAGGAGATTGCCAACCTCTGCAGGGCACCTTCTCCCTGCCAGTGGCTAGACACCAAGTCAGGCCCTTTCATGTATGTTTTGTCGTTCATTGTCACCACTCTGTGAAGAAGGCCCTTCTCTCACAGAAGAGAAAACTGGGTGCAGGGGGTGCGGTGACCCACCCAAGCTCAGAGGACTGGGATGAAGTGGGGTTGAGCTTTGGGCACAGGACTGGTGAGCTCCAAAGGCCAGGCTCCTTGGCGCTGCCGGGAATAGGGGTGTGTGTTGCCCAGGCCCAGGGAGGGGTCAGACCTTTGCAGGTTCCCAGGGAAGGTCGCAGGGAGTGGGGCAGTTCTGGGAGTTTGCAGAGATGCATGGGGTCCTGTTAACTCCAGGGAAGAACCCAGAAGGCCCTTAAATCATTCAGTATATCTTCAGCCTTTTGTCGTCTACTTCTGGGGGGCTGATAGCCTGGGCCAAGGTCTAGGACCACCCCCAGAACTGGGGCCTGCCACCTGAGTTCTTGTGGCTGGAGCTTTCCAGAAGCTCAATTCCTGAGGGATTCTCAGGGAGGAGGTGGCGGCAGCCGGGTGTCCCCACCCACTCCGGCGAGGACCCAATCTCCCGCAGATGGCCCGCATGCTGCTGAAACGGGGCTGCGACGTGAACAGCACCAGCTGCGCAGGGAACACGGCCCTGCACGTGGCCGTGATGCGCAACCGCTTCGACTGTGTCATGGTGTTGCTGACCTACGGGGCCAAAGCTGACGCCCGCGGGGAGCACGGCAACACCCCGCTGCACCTGGCCATGTCGGTGAGCCCACCGTCCGCATCTGGCAGAGCCCGTGGGGGGTGGGGCGCCTGCCCCTCACTCCCCTCCTGCGGTGCCCTCTTTCTTTCCCGCGCTCCTGAGAATCTTACCTCAGCTTAGACCCTGCCTTCTCCCTCAGGAACCTTCCATGTCCCCCTCTCAGCCCCAAATACCACCTCCTTCCTCTGTGCTGCAGTCCCTCTCCCTCCTGTGCTCCCCATTTGACAAGGGCATGGGGTGAGAGGGGCAGTACAGCCCCAACTGACCCGACCCGCCGTGGCCTTGGGCAAGTCACCTCTGTCAGCCTTGATTTCCTTATCTGGAAACCGGGGGTGTCGGCACCCACCAGGCAGAGCTGTCGCGAGGAGTGAGTGACGGACCGTTGGTAACCCCTGGAGCATCCCTGAGATGTCAGCCCCCCCCCCCCCCCCCCGTTGCATTATTCGGGGAAATACTGATCTGCATATTGTTCCTCCCTCCTGGGTGGGACTCCAAACTCCTCGAAGGCAGGGTCTGCTTATACATCTTGGTGGCTCACAGTAGGTGTTGGCCACGGTTTTGGGTTTATTTTAGAGCATAGTTCCTGCCTTTAAAGCCCCTCCAATGTGGATAGACAACTAGAGTATGAACATATTAAATGCAGGGGAAGGGGTGTTATTCATCACCGATGTGTGTGTACGTGTTCCGTATTCCGTAGCAATAGCATGTATACATCAAGTATGTTCAACAGATCTCCAAGGGATGGCATTGGAGAGGCATCTGGGACTCTAAAAGATGTAGGTTGAGGACACACTCAAATACATCCTGTTTTATACTAAAGGCCAGAACCGTGGTGGAGACACTGTTGCCTGGGAGGTGGAAACTAAATAAAACCATGGCCATTTTCAGCACAGAAGGAGCTCTTAGAATTATCTAGTTCATCCGTTCTCAAAAGTTTGGGTCTATGTGGTCCCTTTATACTCTTTAAAAAATAGTTATTGAAGATCCCAAAGACTTTTCATTTATTTGGATTTTATCTATATTTACTAGATTGGAGATTAAAAATAAGAAATTTTCAAAGTATTAATTCATTTAAAAATAACAATTCACCAACCACAGTCTAACCTCAATAAGTAACATTTTTTTTTGGAGAATGAGTTTTTTGTTTTTTTTAAGATTATTTTTTATTTATTTATTTGAGACAGAGAGAGAGAGAGAGAGAGAGCACAAGCGGGGACGAGGGTCAGAGGGAGAGGGAGAAGCAGACTCCCCACAAATCAGGGAGCCCGATGCAGGGCTCAATCCCAGGACCCTGGTGGGATCATGACCTGAGCTGAAGGCAGACGCTTAACTGACCGAGCCGCCCAGCTGCCCCAATAAGTAACATTTTTATGAAAAACAACTTTATTTTCCAAAACAAAAAATAGTCAATAAGAATTGGCATCATTTTACATTTTTGCATATCTTTTTTAATGCCTGGCCTCAGGGAAGACATATTGATTCTCCTGTCTTCCGCTACATTTATTCTGTGGCAATATGTTGTTGAATATATGTTGGAGGGTTTGAAGAAAATCTGGCATCATTGGAAAAGATACACAGTTGCGCCTTTTCAGAGAATCATGAATATTCTTCAATGTTGCACCTAAACTGGACAAGGAGTAGTTTCTGACAAGTCAATTCCTATCAGGCCCTGCAACCATCTCCATGAACTTTTCACACTTTGTTCCATTAAACACTTTATTGCATTGATATCTCTTGCACTCCACATGGATCTTTTACCCATGCATGATTTCAGGTCATCCTTGGAAAATATTGGTTCGCTGTGCATGCATAGAAATGTTCAACCATTTCATTATATGGTATCAAAACCCCACATTTGTAGATATCCCCACCGATCTCATCAGAAGAATCTTTCAGTTTGGGGGAAGATGTCAGCCCGTCATGGCATATAAAAGTGTTCTGGAATTCCCATTTTTGTTTGCAAGCTTGAATCTTATCGTTGGCACAAAATATTGTCAGGTGTTTTTCTTGAAGTGCCAGGCTCACTGCATTCATTTTTGAGAACGTCTTCTGAATACCCAAGGTTGACCCATCGTAGTTCATCAGTCATGATCTCAAGTAAAAATGGCGTTCCAAGAAAAAAAGCATGGTTCTGCTCACAACTCAAACAACTGCATCCATGCTTTTCCTCAAGATAATGGTTGTGCTTTAGTATGCCACAGAAATGCCTATGCTTTCTCTCCATCTTTTTTTTTTTTTTTTTTAAGATTTTGTTTGTCAGAAAGAGAGAGAGAGAGCACAAGCAGGGGGAGCGGCAGGCAGAGGGAGAAGCAGACTCCCCACTGAGCAGGGAGCCCACCTCGGGGCTCAATCCCAGGATCCTGGGATCATGACCTGAGCCAAAGGCAGACACTTAACCAACTGAGCCACTGAGGCATCCCAATTTCTCTCCATCTTATGACGCAGAGTAAACAGTGTCAAAATTTAATAAAATTCGTACTGATTCATGAAGGACATTCCTGAGGGAAACTGGCTTTTTAATTAATTAGTTGATTCCTTACTGTGAATGAGCAGCAGAGAGGAAAGCCACAGCGAGTATTAGTTTGATGCCACTGTTTTGCTGAGGCCCGGGCAGCTTTATCTATCACTGTTTTTACACGATTGGTGCAAAAGTCAATACAACACAAAAAGCAAACATCTTGATTTTTTTATGAGAGGAGGGTTTTTTTTTTTAAGTGTATTTATCTTTTTTAGTAATCTCTACTGCCCAACGTGGGGCTCGAACTCAAGACTCTGAGATCAAGAGCTGCACGCTCTTCCAACTGAGCCAGCCAGGCGCACCTATGAAAACAGTGTGACCCTCATGAACCCTCTAGAGGGTATCACACGTTCACGGGGAGCCACAGATTGTACTTTGAGAACTGCCGATGTCCCTTATTTTCTATACCGCAGGTACTTGCGGATCAGCCTCACGGTTTTTGGCACATTCATGAGCCACGTTTACAATTACAAACTTAATCATTTCTTGAACTGGTTTGCTTTTGAACTTATTTAAATTTATTTCTAAGGAAGTGTTCGATCGCTACCGAAAGTGGTAAACCAGTGACGCAAAAGAAAGGTAACCAAAGCAGAAATGCGTAGCTCATGATTCAAGCATGCATACTTAGCTGTGTCCATATAAATCCTAATGTACATGAACCGCCGTTTGGAAAACTGCATTCTAGACGCATCTCTTCATTCTCTAGGCAAGGAAATTAGGCCCCAGGAAGAGGGGGGTGATAAGACCAGAGCTCTGGTCTCCAGGCAGCCAGTTTATTGGTTTGTTCTGGGAAACCATGTCCCCCGCCCCTGCTGCCCAGCCTCCAAATGTTAAATGCACAGTGCTCCGTGGAGGGAAGCTGCACTTGCAGGCTGCCATCAGGGAGGACGTGTGCTCAGTTACCCCTCATGAAAGACACCCTAGACATGATGGGCAAGACAGCCTTCCCTTTCCCTGCTCACCCTTGCTGCTGTTCCTGAAAGTGATCAGCAGCTGATGCCTCAGTGTCCCCATGGCTCCTGGGGCAGCGATCATAGATGCATTACTTCCTTTGAGAAGTTGCTGGTGGGGCTGGGGACTGGGGTGAGTCACTTTCAGCTTCTGCCTGGGTTATTAGGTGGGTGGGGGTTCTGAAGGGTTCCAGCATCTTCTCCCATGCCCATGAGAGGCCCACCAAGTTGATGGGCAAAGTGAACAAGGCTGGGGTCCCTTTTCTCTTCCTTTCCCTGAGCTATTGCATTTTCCCCTTAATCCATCCCCAACAGAAAGACAATGTGGAGATGATCAAGGCCCTCATTGTGTTTGGGGCAGAGGTGGACACCCCAAATGACTTTGGGGAGACTCCTGCTTTCATAGCTTCCAAGATCAGCAAACGTAAGTGCCCTGCACTCTGGACCAGAGTTGGGCAGGGGTGGGTGGGTGCATGCACTGGGGAGGAGGGTGGTCCCAGCCATCAGGCACCAGCATCCTGTCCATACCCACCCCCCCGTGCTCCCTGCATGGGGTTTCCAGGAGCACCTGGGAGCCTGAGAGGGGAAGCTTTCTGTGCCCAAGAGCAAGGGCCATCACCGGTAGATGGTTCGAACCCATCAAGGGGCTTGCCAAACCAGTGTCCTCTTCTGTGCGGCCCCCATTGTTCTTCAGGGTGCCTGGACTCCTGGGGAGGTGGGCGGGATATGCAGTAGTGTTAGCCAGTTGCTCATTCCTGAGGAATTCACTGATGGGACCGCTTGCGGGAACAACCGTGGGTTGATGCATGCACTGCCCTCCACAAGTATATGTGCCTGCCCTGTGCACACAGGCTTGCAGCATGCACCGCATGTTCACTTGGGGAGCCTTGGCATCAGGACTGGAAAAAGCAGATCATCCTCAGCAGAAGCCTGGGTCCCCTTCAGGGGGTTTTGGGGAGCTGGGGAGGTTGCTGTGGGTGTGTAGCTATTAGTGTGCAAGCGCGCATGCGTGCGCTACTTCTTGCGGCATCTCTGCTAGAGGAGGGGAAATGCCCCCAGACTGCTTGGTCCCTTTTGAGCTCTGGAAGGGACCCTCCATTCAGCGGTTTTGAGAATTGCTGAATGTGGAGGCGAGAGTCCTGTTTTCTTTCTTTTTAAGTTAGATTTTTTTTTTAATTTTATTTTTTTAAAGATTTATTTGAGAGAGAGAGCACAAACAGGGGGAGCAGCAGGCAGAGGGAGAGGCAGCTTCCCTGCCGAGCAGGGAGCCTGATGTGGGGTTCCATCCCAGGACCCTGGGATCATGACCGGAGCTGAAGGCACACGTTTAACCAACTGAGCCACCCAGGCATCCCTTAAATTAGATTTTTAAAATAATTTATAGTAGATATAATTAAGCCCAATCTTGGGGTTTGTTTTTTTTAAAGATTTTATTTATTTGAGAGAGAGAGGGGGTAGGAGCCAGGGGGAGGGGCAGAGGGAGAGGGAGAGGGAGAAGCAGACTCCCTGCTGAGCAGGGAGCCCAGCACGGGGCTCCATCCCAGGACCCTGGGATCATGACCTGAGCCAAAGGCAGATGCTTCACCCACGGAGCCACCCAGATGCCCCAAGAAGTCCTGTTTTCTTGACTGGAAGTGAAGGGAAAGAGGGGTCCCCAAATACTCGGACTGGGCAACCTCAACCTTCTTCCATATTCTGTGGTCAACCTCCGTGCCTTGCCAGGCCCCAGGAAGCTATTTGTCTGTAACAGATTAGAGTCAGCACGCCCCATCAGGGTAGGGGTGGGCCTCTGGGGGGTCCGGTTCCCCCACATACCCAGGCCACCTGATAGATGAGAGAGGGGGCCGTGTGGAAAGGAGGGGCCTCTCACTTGCATGTTGACATCATTTGTGATGCTGTACAATCTCCCCCTCCCCAAACCATGACTAGTTGTCACCAGGAGGACGCTCTTAACCCTGCTGAGAACCGTAGGGGCCGACTACCACCTCCCACTCACCCAAGGGGCCCCCTCGGAGCAGTGCTCCACTACGACACATCACTCCTTCTCCCTGGAAAGATCTCAGCCCCCACCGATCAGCTTAAACAACCTAGGTAGGCCTCCCCTCTGCCACGCTCCCTTCTTTCCAGCTGGTCCCCAGGTGCTGGGATCAGAGCAGTCCTGATCCAAAGGAAATGGGATCCAGGGTAGAAGCTGTTGAAGGGAACAAGGAAGGATGGGGCAGGATTTGTCAGCCTCTGGAGGCGGCCAGTGACCCACAGAGCCCAGGGGCCTGGGGGTGGGGGGGCAGGGGTCCCTGGCTAATGGCCCACAGTCCATGTCTCCTGAGAGAATGCCCTGGACACAGTCTCAGGTCTGGGCATCCCCAGGGCACCCATTAGGGGTGTGCTTCCATGGCCTCCTCTTGTGCCCTGGCAGCTCAGGGTGGGCAGTGAGGAGTGCTCTTGGGGTCCAGAGTCCCTGGCCCTCTGGCTGCAACGAGGAGTGTTTCTGCCACGCTGCGGAATCTGCCAGGCCTGGGGCCTCTATGTCCCCTGCTGGCCCCTTTGGTGACCTACAGGCCTTTGAACATGGCCAGGCAACCTGCCTCTGCCTCTGTGTCCTTGGTGCCCGTGGAGATGGCCCCCAAGGAGATCGTGTCCGTTCTCTGGGCTTTCTGTGGGCCTGAGATTGTTTGAGAGTAGGGTCCTCTGAACAGGGCAGTCAGAAACCAATCCTTGGCAAACCGGCTTTTTTTTTTTTTTATTTCTTACTCCCTTGCCGTGGAAGCAAACACTAGCACCTAGCCAGGATAGCCCAGCCTAGCCTGGAGTCAGGGAAGGCGGAGCCCGCAGCCAGTTAGTCCTTCTGGCTCTGCCCCTCTCCTCCCCTGCCCATCCCCCCCCAGGCCCTGCCCACCGCCCCCCCCCCCCATCTTTATCTCTCAATTTTACAGGCAGGCCATCACCCAAGCCAGGCTGGATGGTGGGCCTGGGGCGCGGCGTCAGATGGGTAATGCCCTGGGCCTCGAGGGGCTGCAGAGCCTGCCGAGCCCTGAGTTAGCTGTAGCCCTCATGCCCTCTTTTTCCCAGCTGCAGGCCAGACACACGCACCTGGCCTTACCACCCTCTCCCTGGCACTCTGTCCACTGCCTCTCCTGGCCAGTCTCCCGCTTATCTCGCCCACCCTCTGGCCACATGCCCTGGTGAGAGGGAGGCACCCTGCCTTGCAGCCTGCATTCCTGCTTTGCTGCTTCTAGACTCTGCACAGTGGTGGGGAGGGCCCGTCGGAAGCTGGATGACATGGCAGTGCCAGGCCAGGCGGGAGGGCAGCCAGTCCATCGGGTGGTGGCGGGGGTGGGGGGTTGGGGCGCAGAGCAGAACATGGAGGGAGTGGTGGGTGCGGCTGATCTGAGAGGCCGCTGAGGAAGTTTCCAGACCTGGGATCAGGCTGAGCAGCATCTGGAGAGTGGTTGGTTATCTCCCTTCACTCGTGGACTTAAACCTCAAGGAATGTCCAGACTCAGCCCTTTTGGCTAAATGACCTTGGACAAGTCAGTCCCTGACTCTCTTTGAGCTTCATCTGGAAATTGGGAATAAGGACTCTGGTGATGATGGATGTCAGCAGCTCCACTTGCCCAATGCATGAGAAAACGCTGTGGGAACTGAAAAGCACAGGGCATGGCCAGGGTGCTTGGGCTTTGGGGCTTTGGGGCTTTGGGGCTTTGGGAGGAAGGCATCGAGGAGAGTCTGGGAGCTCTCCGGGTGGGATGGGCGCACTTCCCAGAGAGGTGGGCTCCCCTCTGAATTCTAGCCCAGTTCACCCCAAGGGCCCGGTGGCCTCTTGCTCAGCTGTGTCCTGGGACGCAGAGCCATTGCTGGCGGCCAGAGGCAGGTGCTTCTGCTAGGGTCAGTCAGGGGAGGGTACAGCCCCAGAGTCGTTCTCAGGGCCCGTGGTATGGTGGGAACCTGGCACTCGCATGGCCCCGGCCCACCTTACCCTGTGCCTTGCAGAGCTGCAGGACATCGTGCACATCTCCCGGTCCCGGAAGCCGGCCTTCATCCTGAGCTCCATGAGGGACGAGAAGCGGACGTAAGTGGAGGAAGGAGGGAGACCGCATGTCCAAGGCTCTGCTTGGTGCCCTCCAGCAGGCTCGGGGCTTTCAGCTAGTCCACAGCAGGGCCCTGTGAGGTAGTTTGCGTCCTCTGTAGTTCACAGAGAAGGGCCTGGCTTTTCAGAGAGCCTGGGTCTGCTCTTTCTTCAGTGACCATGCGGGCTCAGGGGATCACATGATGGAGGGGGCTGCAATCCTGTCCCTTCCCTCCTGACCTTGTCCTGGTTTCTTGGGGAAGATCACCCAGCGCCCGTCTGTGATGCTGAGCCTGCCTCCCCTGGCTCCACCCTACCCCTTGGCCTGCTTCCCCCCCCACAGAGCTAGTGGGTGGGCTGGCTTCCCAAGCACCTGCTGTACACCCCCGCCCATCCTCGGAGGCAGGCCTGGGTGATGGGCACAAAGAGCAGAAGAAGCCTTGGTCCTTGAGGACAGTCTCTGGGGCTCAGAAAGAATGTCTGCCACGCAAGGCAAGTTCCCAGCGCAGATGTGCCGGAAATCAACTGTGCTCTCTCTCTCTCTTCTCCCTTCCATAATAGAGCTGCTTTCTTGTTCTCTGGCTCTTACTGTCCCATGCTCCTAACAGCCTGCCTGGGGAGGGATTAAGACCCTTGTTCTGCACGTGCGGGACCTGAGTCCCTGAGAGGTGAAGTGACCTGCTCAAGGTCACACAGTGAGCATCAGAGCAGAGGCTCGAGCCTGGGTCTTCAGAGCTCATGCCCTTCCTGCTGTTGCAGGCTCTCTGGGCACTCAGAATGCCGTTGAGTCAGCAGACACAGCCCCTGCTCCTAGGGCCACATGGTAGCAACAGGTGGCTCTACCTCTCCTTGCCTGAAGGGTTGGCTCCCATTTAGTAGGTCCCACTCGTTTCCAAGGCCGCCCTGTGATATGCACCCTGGAGGTACCTCTGCCCCATCCGCATACTGGTGGTTCCCGCCACTGCGCCTCCCGTGTGTGTACACGCATGCACACGCACACACCTGCACAGGGGCTGAGGAAGGTACCAGAGGGAGGACCGACCTGTCCCGGCCAGTAAGAGGAGAGGAGGCAGATTCTCCAAGCAGAATCAGGGTAATTCACCCCAGCCGGAGTACCCTCCCTGCAAGCAGGACTGAAGTGAGAGTTAGGGCACCCCTATGGGGACCTCCCCACACAGGGCTGTGAACCACATTGCTCCACCTTGCTCCGTCTGGGTTGATGTCTCCGTTGTAAGCCCCGCATCCTTAGAAGGGTCCCTCGCGTGTCTGCTCTGGCTTCCCTGGTCAGGGGCCCTGCTGGCCTCCGGTGACAGCCCAGCCTCCCCTGCCACGCTCTGGGCTTGCTGCAGGGCTGGGCAGCTTGTCCAGGAAGACAGGGGACCCGAGAGGTGGGCCACCCAGGCCTCCATTTACCAGCTGTCTACCGACGCCTCCTGAGTGCACTGGATACACAGCTCTGCACAGGGCAGAGCCGGTCTCTGCCCTCAGGGAGCTTCCATCCCATCCTGTGCGGGAGAAAGACGGTGACCGAGGGAACCAAGACGCTTGCTTATATGGGAGCTAGAGGTGCTCTACACCAAGGAGGTGGGTGGAGGAGGAGCAGGCTGGGCTGGAGGGGGCTGATGGCATCAGAGCAGGCTTCTCTCAGCAGTGACATTTATGCTGACATGGAAGGATGAGGAGACCAGAAGGAAGCTTCCGGGCCTGAGCACGGACTGTGAGAGCCTTCCCCAGGGCAGGGAGCCTGGCATGGCCGGGCCGTGAGACGTGTCAGGGCATGTGGCAGAGCAGGTGACTCAGGAGTCAGCAGGCCCTGGTCCGTCCCGCCGCATCAATTCCCAATCTTGTGACTCTGAGTGGTCACCTAACCTCCAAGCTTCATTCCTAGCAGGGAGTGTCTGCCTCCAAGGGGTTTGGGACGTTTATGCGAATTCACGCTGGGAAAAGCACCTCACAGCTCCTGGCACACAGACGATCCTTCCTCCCTGCCCCCCTCCTCCCCTGCTGCTCCCACCTGGGAGGAGGGTCTTCACCCTCTCCCCCACCCTTCCTGGCCGGCTGCAGGATACCAGCCCTTCCCCCGAGCCTTGTCTAATTCAAAGAGACTTTTCTTAGGCACCTGCTTCAGGGCAGGCCTGGGCCTGCGGATCCAGACCCACCCAAAACCGAGTGGGAGAGGCAGAGCCAGCTGTCCACTGAGGTGGCACCTGGCCCCTTCCCTTACTGCTGATTGCACTTTTCCCCTCCTGAAATACTCTCTGTTTATTCCTTTACTGACTGTGCTCCTGCCCCCCCCACCCAAAAGAAGCCCCAGTAGCGCGCAAGCTCCACTGGGCCTTATCTTTACACGCTCACAGGTGCTCAGGGCCGCAGGCCCACGTAAAGTGCTGGGCTGTAACAGGATCCTCTTCTCTCCCACTGCTGTCCCCACCACAGCCACGACCACCTGCTCTGCCTGGACGGAGGGGGCGTGAAGGGCCTCGTCATCATCCAGCTCCTCATCGCCATCGAGAAGGCCTCAGGCGTCGCCACCAAGGATCTCTTTGACTGGGTGGCGGGGACCAGCACCGGGGGCATCCTGGCTCTGGCCATTCTGCACAGTGAGGGCAGGGCCCTGGGTGGTGGGGGCAGGGCAGGGTGGGGTTGGGATCTGCCCTCCAGTTACACTCAGTTTCTTTTCAGAGCTTTGCAAAGAGGGTCGTTGCGGGGTGGGGAGGGCCTGGAAGCCCTTTGTGGGGGCAGCTAAGGGCATTGGGGTGCGAGGCTGGAAAGAGAAGGGTTGGGGGTGGGCTGGGGCTGGGTGCCCTGCCGTCTGTGGGGGACACAACGAGCCTTTCCGTGTACGAAGCATTTTTACATCAGTCGCCTCTACCACTCTCCCCCACAGCCTTGTGAGGCAGGCCCCGCCGGGCCTCAGAACGGCTGGAAATAAGGAAAGCCATTCTGAGGGTGGATGCAGTGGGTGGTCTCAGGAAGGAGGAGCCACGGAGTCACAGAAAGCCAGAGCCCCAGTCAGCATGTGCTGTTTACCCACAGGGAAATTAAGGCCGTGGGGTAGAGAAGTGCCCCAAAGTCACAGAGCCCAGCCATGGGGTTGCTGGGGCTAGGACAGTTCCTTAGACACCCAGCCCAGCACGTCCCAAGGCCACAGGGCACCCATGCATCACAGCTTCGCGGAGGTGACAGAGGTGCCTTGCTTACCAGGCAGGCTTCTAGGAAGTTCTTGTCTCCACTCAAGCAGTGTCCCCTTTGTGGAGCTGTCTGGGCTGTCTGATGCTCCCTGCAGGGGGCCCTCCCAGAGCCTCCTACCCCCCAGGCAAGAATGGTCCTCTGCCTCGGCTTCCCTGACCTTTCATCCCTGCCCCAGTGCTTGGCAATTCCAGGCTCTCCAGTGCACCCCCAGGTCTGAAGTCATGGGGAGAGGACCCTCCTGCCCGCAGCCCAGGCCTGTGCCGGGCAATGGCGTGGCGGGGCTGAGGCAGGTGCATGCCCCCGCTCAGGGAGCCCCAGTCCCATGGGGGAGCTGCAGGCATCTGGGTATTGACCGTGTGAGGAGGCCATGGCCCAGCAGTTCAGGGTGTCAGGGACATGAGGCAGCCAGGCCAGGAGGCGGCTGAGAGCAGCGTCCCATGGGGCTCTGGGAAGAGGATTATTAGTCAGCAGTCTTCTGGGACTTCCCTCCCCTGGCCTCAAGGGCCCCACATCCCCTCTCTGGTCTCTAGTTCCTGCCTTCCATGAGACAAAAGCTATCTTGGATCTGTGTCTGCCCAGCGGGGCATGAGGTCTGGGGGCGGAGGTCCTAGCCTCCCCCAGAAAGGGTCACTTCCTTCTTCAGACTCCCGGGGCCTATGGGAGGGATTTGAGTGGTCACCCAGTTCAGCCTCTGGTAAGAACAGACCCCCTCTGCTCCACAGCCCCCCTGCACCCTGCTCGCACAGCCCTAGCCCGAGTGAGGTGCAGCCTGCCCCTTTGACCCTGCCTGTCCTCAGAGGCCTACAGGACAGGGCTGGTCCTTCTATTCTGAGCCAAATGGGGTAGGTCTAGATTAGATTTAGAAACTCTTACACTTTCAGGGCCCTTCTCTGAGGAGAATACAAAATTGTGAATACAGAATGAAGTGCAGAGCCTCAGGGCTGCTGAAGGGGAGTTCTGCCTCTGTGGGAAGTTGCCGAGGAGAGGCCCAGGAGCCCCGGCTGGGTTAAGTGCCTGAGTCAGGCCAGTGTCCGGCTGCCACCCCCTGCCCTTGCAGCTGGCAGGGCGTGGCCCTCGTGTCTCCCCCACCTTGTTCCTAGGCAAGTCCATGGCCTACATGAGGGGTGTGTACTTTCGCATGAAGGATGAGGTGTTCCGGGGCTCACGGCCCTATGAGTCAGGGCCCCTGGAGGAATTCCTGAAGCGCGAGTTTGGGGAGCACACCAAGATGACCGACGTCAAGAAACCCAAGTAAGCCTCCTCAGCAGGAGCACTGTGGCTGTGGCCCCAGCTGGGCAGCCCTCTCACCGTTCTGGGGAGGGGGCAGAGGGCTCCCTGCCCTGGTCTGATGAAAGTGGGAGGGGGGCGCTCAGCAGCTCCTTCCCAAGTGGGCCCGGGGCTTCTGGAGAACACTGTTGCGGGACACCCCCCACCCGGGACTGCTGTTTTCCCACCCAGACGGCACATCCCTGGGTCAGAAGGGGTCGCTTCTCAGCTGCCACACACCAGGGACTTTTTGCAGAGTGGGGCTGTGCTCCAGGCGTTGTGTGTGCGTGTGCATGTGTGTGTGGGGGGGGAGCGGTTTGAAGGGGGCCACCGCCAGGTGGAAAGGCCAGTGAGCCATTTGCAGTCTGGTTGGGAGATAAGTGACCTGAAAAATGACAGCCGTGCAGGGCTGCAGATGTTTGAGAAGTTCCAGAAGAGCCTACAGCACAGCTACTTCTTTGTAGGACTACCCAGCCCAGAATTACTTTATTGTCCGTTTCATGCCTGTGTCTGTCACCTGCCAGACTTGAGCTCCCTGAGGCAAGAGTATGGCTGCCTTGTTTTCTCTGCAGCCCCAGCATCTGCCCCAGAGCAGGGCACTGAGAAGTGTTCATGAGCTGGCAGAGGAGGACTGAGGGCGAGGTGGTCAGGGGGAGCTTCCTGGAGGTTGTGATGTGTGAGCGAGGCCTAGTGGGTTAGGGAGGATTTCTTTTCATAATAAAGCTAGCTTTTTTTTTTTTAATTTAAGAATAATGCATAGTTTTTTAAGAAAAATTGGGAAAATACAAAAAAATAATAAAAGTAAAAAGGAGGAAATATCATTCATGTAGTAAACACCAAAAGATGTTTTAAAAACATTTTTGTGTATTTTATCCTAGATATTTTCTCTCAAATGGTGAAATAGAACATACATTTAGAAAAGTACATACACCTGTTCAGTGAATAATTATAAAGCAAACACGCACATAATCACCAGCCAAGTCTCAAAGCCCGTTGAGCACGTCCCCAGCCCCTTCGCAGCTCCTGCCCTACCGCCCGGGGGCGCTGCTGTCCCCACTGATGTGCAGTGGATTTCCTGGATTTTCTTTTTTCTTTTTTTTTTTTTTTTAAGATTTTATTTATTTATTCATGAGAGACAGAGAGAGAGAGAGAGGCAGAGGGAGAAGCAGTCTCCCAAGGAGCAAGGAGCCCGATGTGGGACTCGATCCCAGGACTCTAGGATCATGACCTGAGCCGAAGGCAGACGCTTAACCATCTGAGCCACCCAGGCACCCCCTGGATTTTCTTTCTTTCTTTCTTTTTTTTCTTAGAGAGAGGAGGGTTGGGGAGGGGCGGAGGGAGAGAGAATAGAATCTCTCTCCCTCTGAGCTGGGCTCAGAGCTGACAGAGGAGGACTGAGGGCAAGGTGGTCAGGGGGAGCTTCCTGAAGGTAGTGATGTGGGCTCCACGCATGGAGCCCAGTGTGAGCCCAAGGCAGGGCTCAATCTCACAACCCTGAGATCATGACTTGAGCTGAAATCAAGAGTCAAATGCTTAACTGATTGAGCCATGTAGGCGCTCCTACCTTTTTAGATATTTTAAAGGCTGTTTGCCTCTCCTCTTTTGTAAAGTTCCTGTTCAAGTGTTTTGCCTATTTTTGGTAAAATTGGGTTGTGGGATTTGGGGGTTAAAAGGCATTTATGGGGGCACCGGGGTGGCTCAGTCATTAAGCGTCTGCCTTCAGCTCAGGTCATGATCCCAGAGTTCTGGGATCGAGCCCCGCATCGGGCTCCCTGCTCAGCGGGAAGACTGCTTCTCCCTCTCCCACTCCCCCTGCTTGTGTTCCCTCTCTCACTGTGTCTCTCTCTGTCAAATGGATAAATAAAATCTTTTTTTTAAAAAAGGGCATTTATGTATGTATGTATTAGATTTTGTTTTTAAGTAATCTCTACACCCAGCGTGGGGCTTGAACCCACAACTCCAAGGGGCTAAGAGCCTCTTTTTTTGTTGTTTTTTAGAGATTCATTTATTTATTTTAGAGGGAGAGAGAGCAGGGGTGAGGGGCAGAAGGAGAGAGAGAATCTCAAGCAGACTCCCCGCTGAGTGCAGAGCCCCACTCAGGGCTCAATCCCAGGACCCTGCAATCATGACCTGAGCAGAAATCAAGAGTCGGAGGCTTAGGGGTGCCTGGGTGGCTCAGTCGGTTGAGCGGCTGCCTTCGGCTCAGGTCATGATCCCAGAGTCCTGGGATCGAGCCCCAGGTCGGGCTCCCTGCTCAGGGGAGAGCCTGCTTCTCCCTCTCCCTCTGCCTGCCTCTCTGCCTACTTGTGCTCTCTCTCTGTCAAAAAAAAAAAAAAAGAGTCGGAGGCTTAACCGACTGAACCCCCCAGGCACCCCAAGAGGCTTCTTTTTTTTTTTTTTTAAGATTTTATTTATTCACTTGACAGAGAGAGAGATAGCAAGAGCAGGAACACAAGCAGGGAGAGTGGGAGAGGGAGAAGCAGGCTCCCCCCTGAGCAGGGAGCCCGATGCGGGACTCGATCCCAGGACCCCGGGATCATGACCCGAGACGAAGGCAGATGCCCAACGACTGAGCCACCCAGGCGCCCCCCAAGAGGCTTCTTAATGATCTTTTTTTTTTTTTAAAAAGATTTATTCATTTGACAGAGAGACGACAGCGAGAGAGGGAACACAAGCAGGGGGAGCGGGAGAGGGAGAAGCAGGCTTCCCGCAGAGCAGGGAGCCCGATGCGGGGCTCGACCCCAGGACCCTGAGATCATGACCTGAGCCAAAGGCCGAAGGCAGATGCCCAACGACTGAGCCACCCTTAATGATCTTTTTTATATTCTGAAAACTAGTCCTTTAATGGATATATAGATATATAGATTTTAAATCTTTTCTCCTACTCCATGGCTTGTCTTTTCATTCTCTTTACAGTGTTTTGTTGATGAATGGATGTTCTTAATGTAGTAGAATTTATAAATGCTTTTTTTTTTTTTAATGGTTTGTGCTTTTTCTGTTTGTTCAAGAACCCTTCCTTAGCCTGAGGCAGGAAGCAATTTCCCCATCAGGTCAGAAATCTCTCTAGATCTGTCTTTCACGTTTAGGTCTTTATCAACCTAGAATTGTTTTTTGTATCAGGGGAAACCCAATTTCATGTTTTCCACATGAATAATCAGTTACCCCAGCCTCACCTGTGAAGAAGTCTGTCTTTCCCTCCATGTCTGCTCGGTGGTTTCTGACTGTTCTGTTCTGTGGGCTGGCTCTGTTCCTCAGCTTTATGGTGAGTCCCGATTTCTGGGACAGCAGAGCCTCCCACCTTGTCCATCTTCAAGGGTATCACGGCTTTCTTGGAGGCACCCTAGAGAAGTGGTTGAGATCGAGTGCCCTGAGGTTTCCTCTTTTCAAAAATGGGAATAACATACTACCTTCCTCCTGGGGTTTTCATGAGGAGGAAAAAAAGTTAATATTTAGAAAGCACCAGGGGGCGCCTGGGTGGCTCAGTCGTTAAGCGTCTGCCTTCGGCCCAGGCCCTGGTCCCAGGGTCCAGGAATCTATAATTTATTTATATATTTATTTATAAATAAATAAAATCTTTAAAAAAAAAAAAAACACCTGGTGGGGCACCTGAAGCTGGCTCAAGTCAGAGGAGCATGCAACTCTTCATCTCAGGTTTTGTGAGTTCAAGTCCCACGTTGGATGTAGAGATTACTTAAATGTTTTCTTTTTTTTGAAGGAAAGTACCTGGCACACACAAATGCTGTACAAAGGTTACTTGCTGCTATTTGTGCTTCCACGTAAATGGTAGCATCAGATTGCCCAGTTCTACAGAAAATCAAATCCTGCTGGAACTTTGATAAAGATTACATTGAATCCGTACGCTTATTTGCGGGGAGAAATGGCCTCTGAAAACACTGAGTCTCCCAATTAGAGAATATAGTGAAACATTCCATTGGTTTAAAATTTCTCAGTGTGGTTTTATAGTTTTCTCTATGGAGATCCAGCACATCGGTGGCTCGGGTTCTTCATGGGTTTTGTGCTACTGTAAATTATACATTTTTAGAGATACCATTTATTTATTTGACCATGTTTAATTGTGGTAAAATACACATAACATTAAAATTACCATCTAAACCCTTTTAAGTACAGTTGAGTAAGTGGTAAGTACATTCACACTGGTACACAGCTGACCTCCCAAACGTTTTCGTCCTGCAAAACTAAAACTCTGTTCCCATTAAACACCAGTCCATTCCCAGCTCCCCCAGGTCCTGGCAACCACCATTCTACTTTCTCTCTCTAGGATTTTGACTGCTCTAGGGACACCCTGGAAGCGGGCCATACAATATTTGTCCTTTTGCGGCTGGCCCCTCTTACTGAGCATAGTGTCCTTGATGTTCATCCATGTTGTAACACGTGTCAGAGTTTCCTTCCTGTTCAAGGCTGAATAACATGCCATTGTGTGGATACACCACATTGTATTTGTCTGTTCATCTCTTGATGGATGTTTAGGTTGTTCCCATCATTTGACTGTTGGTGATAACACTGCTATTCACCCAGGTGTACAGGCACCTTTCCTAGTTCCTGCTTTCAATTCCTGGCGCCTTTTACAGAGAGAGTTCTGAGGGGCTCCGCTGGCTAATATTTTGTTTAGATTTTTGCATCCACGTTCATGAATGAGCTTGGACCCATTTTTTCCCATTTGGGGGTTGCCGGGTTTTGGTTTTGAGAGAGTATTTCCTCTTATTTTCTATTTTTTTGGAAAAGGTAGTATAATAAAGACTTTGCTTCTTCTTGAGTATTTGGTGAAATTTGCCAGCGAAGTCATCAAGGCCTGGAGTTTGCTTGGAGGAAGATTTTTGATGGTGGCATTAACTTCTTTAATGTTTATAAGACTATTTAGAATTTCTAAATGTCTTTTGAGTTGGTTTTGGTTATGTTTTTCTAGGAATATGTCAATTTCATCAACTCTTCAAATTTGTTGGCATAGAGTTGTTCAGAATGTTCTC